GGATTATTGTACATAGATGAAGTGATGCATGAGGCATTACTACTTTAGGGATTATTGTACATAGATGAAGTGATGCATGAGGCATTACTACTTTAGGGATTATTGTACATAGATGAATTGATGCATGAGGCATTACTACTTTAGGGATTATTGTACATAGATGAAGTGATACATGAGGTATTGACTCTTTGACTGGGTACGTATTTCACTTTCAGTTGGATCTATAGAGTTATGAGTAGTATATTGTGATGAGGCTTTATTTTTTGGCTGGCAAGTTTTTTGCACTTTATATTGTTTACAGTTTAATTATAGCACCTGTAATTAGCATCATGATGACTGGTGAACTAGTGGATTGGTGCGGAAATAATTAGCATTTTTATACAAGTTGTTTAAAACTGCAACTTGGCTAAAAGTGAATATCTTTTTAAAGGACAATTTAAGAAAAGTATAAATATGATTGAATTATTACAGGAGCCAGGAGAAAATTTTTAAAACACAAGACTAAATTTACTATCTTATTGCAGAATTGCTGTTTGTAACTTGTCACTGTGATTATAATGTTTCCACTGGAGTATGAGAGTATTTTACTTTTCTAGGTTATGGCCAAAATTAATAGTAAAAATAATGCAGCAGGATGGGTCCCATCAAACTCCAACAGGACAGCTTCAGCATTTAGCCAACAGAGTAAGTTTTCTTAAAGTGTTCTTTCTCATCATTATGCTTTCAGTGGAGTCATTCAGCTCACTATACCTATTGCTTTATAATAACCATCACACAGTGACTGTAGAAGAAAATGAAACTAAATCTTTACAATGATACAACAATATAAATTCTAACCAAAGTGTGTACTGTTGTGAACTGAGGTTAATTTATAGTGAAATTTAACATTGGGAAGTATACAAAGGCTGCCAGTTATTAGATGGTTGTCACTTTACATATCATTGTGAAATATACAAATGCTGTTGGTTACTAGATGGTTGTCATTTCACATATCATTGTAAAGTATACAAAGGCTACTGGTTAGTAGATGGTCATTGTTTTACATATCATTGTGATCTACACAAAGGCTAGAGGTTAGTAATGGTTGTTGTTTTACATATCATTGTGAAGTATTCAAAGGCTACTGGATAGTAAATGGTTGTTATTTTATATATTATGAAGTATACAAAAGCTTCTGGTTACTAATGGTTGTTGTTTTACATATTGTGAAGTAAAGAATGACTGCTGATTACTAATAGTCATTGTTTTACATATCATTGTACAATGATATGTAAAACATCGACCATCTACTAACAGGTAGCCTTTGAATACTTCACAATGATCAGTAAAACAACGACCATCTACTAACCAGTAGCCTTTGTATACTTCACAATGATCTGTAAAACAACGACCATCTACTAACCAGTAGCCTTTGCATACTTCAAAACAATACATAAAATAACAACCATTACTAAACAGTAGCCTTTCTAAACTTCACAATGATATGTAAACCAACATCCATCTAGTAACCAGCAGCCTTTGTATACTTCACAATGATATGTAAAACAAGGACCATTAGTAATGATTAGCCTATGCATACTTCAAAGTATTCAAAGGCTACTGGTTAGTAGATGGTCATTGTTTTACAGATCATTTTAGAGTATATAAAGGCTATTGGTTAGTAGATGGTCATTGTTTTACAGATCATTTTAGAGTATACAAAGGCTACTGGTTAGTAGATGGTCGTTGTTTTACAGATCATTTTAGATTATATAAAGGCTATTGGTTAGTAGATGGTCGTTGTTTTACTAATCATTGTGAAGTATTCAAAGGCTACTGGTTAGTAGATGGTCGTTGTTTTACAGATCATTTTAGAGTATATAAAGGCTATTGGTTAGTAGATGGTTTTTGTTTTACTGATCATTGTAAAGTATTCAAAGGCTACTGGTTAGTAGATGGTCGTTGTTTTACAGATCGTTGTAAAGTATTCAAAGGCTACTGGTTAGTAGATGGTTATTGTTTTACAGATCATTTTAGAGTATATAAAGGCTACTGGTTAATAGATGGTTGTTGTTTTACAGATCATAGTAAAGTATTCAAAGGCTACTGGTTAGTAGATGGTCATTGTTTTACAGATCATTTTAGAGTATATAAAGGCTACTGGTTAGTAGATGGTCATTGTTTTACAGATCATTTTAGAGTATATAAAGGCTGCTGGTTAGTAGATGGTCATTGTTTTACAAATCATTTTAGAGTATATAAAGGCTATTGGTTAGTAGATGGTCATTGTTTTACAGATCATTCTAGAGTATATAAAGGCTACTGGTTAGTAGATGGTCATTGTTTTACAGATCATTTTAGAGTATATAAAGGCTATTGGTTAGTAGATGGTCATTGTTTTACAGATCATTTTAGAGTATATAAAGGCTATTGGTTAGTAGATGGTCATTGTTTTACAGATCATTTTAGAGTATATAAAGGCTATTGGTTAGCTTTTTTGTTTAACATGGTAGAAGATAATTATAGCCTTGGTTGAAGTAGAAAACAATATCTTAATATATGAATATATGTTTGGTCTATATTTGCTAATTTCCGTTTCAAATTTTTTGCCATTAGTAGGCTTGTTGTAGAGGACACTGAAACTTAGGTAGTCAAGGGAAATCAACTTACTACTTATTCATTTGGCTTTTTCACCAAAAGTAGATAATTTTAGGAAAAATTAGTTAAAATTGTGTTGGTAGTATGCATCTCTCTCTGTACCTACAACATAATATCAATGCAGTATTGCCAGTTTACTTATTTTATACGGGACTAAAAATGTTGGCTTTACTTTAGTGTGAATATATATTTATAACCTAAGATGTTCATTCCATAGCCAAGAATGTGACAAGTTCTGCTGGTAGTGGTACAACCCAGAAACAAGGATCTCAATCAAGTTCTAAAAGTTCAATCAAAGGAAATCAACAAAACTTCAATAGTAAGCATAGTTAATTTTTTAAACTTTTTCCATACATGAAAAGAGTTTATTTACCTATAAAAATAGCTTCTACATTTTGTTTTACACAGAATATTATTTTCTCATAACATAAGTCAGTCCAGTTTCCTTTATTTTAAATGTATTTCCTTGATTGTTTTCAATATTGCCATGAAAAAAGTAAAAATCAAGCTTCTTGAAATGACCAGTTTTTATATTAACTGATCTGTGCTTCTGATCACTGAAACATGAAGTGACAAAATTCTAATGGGTACTGATCATCTTAGCAGTTTGTATGTTAACTGATCTGTAATTTTGATCACTGGAATGTGAATTAATGTAACAAAATTCCAGTTTTTATTGATCTTCCTAGCAATAAAAAAATGTGATTATCTAGTGCACCATAGTGGCCTAGAATGCATCAAAAAGCATGTAGACCCCTCTGTCTCTCAAGAAAAGATATTATCTTATAGTGTATCTTTGTGCAATGTTCCTTGTGTTGGATTATACTTGTAGTTTGACTTCAGAGTTGCATGGATGTTCTACTAGTTACTTTTTTGTACATACATATATATATACTAATTATATGCTTTTGGGCCCAAAGAAAATAGAATAAATTAATTACATTGCTTCTTTCATGTAATTTCTTTTTTTACAAATTTTTGTTACAACAGACTGCATATAACTTAACTGATATTTTGTGTTTTGTTGGCACATTAACATACCTAAATAAAGTAAAATTGTTTCTTTAGTATATTTTCTTAAAGTTTATGTTTCAGTTAGTAAAGATTTAGAAGAACTTGAAGGATGAAATAGTTATAACTTTTGTATTTGTGTGTGTTTGGATTCAGAAGTAGATGGATCTGAAGAGAGGGAAGATACTGGTTACTCAATATTTCCCGTAGAGAATGAAGAGTTAGTATATGGTAGTTGGGAAGATGATGTGATCTGGGATGCACAGGTAATTCTCAATATTGTTACAAAAAATAATGGTAGTTGTTTAAATAGATGGTTTATCATTGTTGCTTTCATCACATTATTACTGAAAAAGAACTTTTCTCTATTCTTTTTCTGGTAATTGTTACAAGATATAGTTTATCATTGTTGTTTTCTGGAGTTACCAAAAAGTAGTTTGTCTCTTTCTGGTAATTGTTACATGATACAGTTTATCATTCGTTGCTTTCTTCATGTTGTTTCTAAACAAACTTTTTTCTTTCTTTCTTACATTAGTTACATGATATGGTTTATCATTTATTGTTTTCTTCATGTTGTTACCAAAAGGCATTTTTTTTTCTTTCCTGTTTCTTGTAGTTGCTACAAAATATGTTTTATCTTTTGTTAATGCTAACAAACAATATTTAAGATCTTTTCAAATTATTTAATTTTACACTCTTAAAATTTGTTTTTCCTGGAAATATTATTGCATAATGGATACCATTAGAAAATTATTGAAAGCCTAACCAGAATATTTCTAAACAAAGTATTTAAAACTCCCATAAAAATGTTCACAGTAGATAAATGCCCAGTTTCATTGACTATTCCATACCTAGGACAACAAAGTATTGTACTTTCTAAACAACTTAAGTTTTTAATAAGAATGCTCTATCCACAGGCCAAACTGAAAATCATTTTCAAACTGTCTTTTAGATTGAAATGTAGGTAGACAACCTTTTTAATCTTAGATTGTCTATAAATACATGTGGTGACTGCATGACATTTTGCTGTTCACGAGCATGTGGGAATATCACTTAGGCCAGATAACATCCTTCTAACTCTTAATTTTATGGAAGTGTACCCAAGTAACCTCTTGTGTAAGTAACAAAACAACACAAGTATAAAAAAAAAACTTTTTTCAACTTATAGGTTTGAGATTTCATTTGCATAACCCCTAGAACCTCCAAAGTGAATATCAAAGGTTCTTTTTAATTTAAGTTAATTGATTATATATATATTTCCACTTTCTCTATGACATTACTAACTGTAGCTATTATCATCAGCTTATACTATATAGTCTATAGTACATTACAATCAAATGTTTAAAATTAAGACAAAGGAAAATTTATATACCTTTTAAGATTTCGTGAAATAATCTTAAAGCATCTTTTTTTCCTTGTCTTTACATTTTCACATATAATTTATTTCAATTATTTATTATCCTTTCCTGTCCTTTAGCACTGTTATTTATTACAACACACGTCAGTGGGTGTCCCCATCCAGTATTACTCTATAGTGGGCAGAGAAACTTTAGCTCTCGGGAGAACTTGGTGGCATTCATGTATTACACTATCCCTTGTGAATTAAACACATATTGGCTCATATAAAGAAAATTATTAAACCTTTCAAATATGCATCTTAAAACATAAATAACACATAATTAAGTAAAATATAAAATTGAAACCTGAATACAATGCAACTTTCTAACTAACTAACATATTTCAAGGTGAGAAATAATGCTAAAATAGCAGGGACAAAGCAGCAACAATACTAAGAACGGTTTGACTATATAATTCTTCGTGCCAATTTTATAATAACAGTTGTGAGAACATACTTCAAAAATTACTCTTCCCATTGGTTACAACCAAGTATAATTGGCTGAGAAATCGCAACTCTAAATGTACAAACTGTGCGTGGCATTTGTCAATAGTTTGGAGAAGGTTATTTCTTCTTTCTCTGAATGTGCTCTATTGAACTTGAAAGAAGAATATGTAAACAGAGCAATTAACCTAGATTCTTTCTGTATGTGGAAGGTTAGTGTGAGTCAAGAACTGTTCAAACTACAAAGACACAAATTTAACATTTTCTGAACTTACAGAGCACAAGAGAATAAAACAAAATAATAAAATTTTTCTTTAAGGTTTCTTTAACCCTATTGCCCCAAGTATCCATTACTGCACATAACACAAAGTTTTAGTGTCTTACATTCAAAATTTTATTAAACTACTTTTTGTTTATGTTATACCAATTAGAATAGCATAAAATCTTAGGTAATAATTTTTTAATATAATATTTAATATTAATAATATTTTTTTTTAAATAATCATATTTTAATAGTATATAAGTTTTAAGCTCTTAATATTACAAGGGAATAATAAAAAAAAATCCTGAATTTCCACTAGTGTGACCCACTTGACACATTTTCTCTTAGCATGTCATCATCCCTATTTTATCCATCACCCCTCGAAAATGTACAAAACTAAACATAAATTACTCTTTATAAAATAGTTATTGTTCAGACAAACCATAATTTTTAGTCTTGTATTTTGTTTGGTTACAGAGCTATTGAATAGAAAATCAGACCCTCTTGCCACACCCACCTTTTACATCCTCTCTTTCACAAATCGTTGATAGTTCCTTCTTACGTTTCATTATATATTACCTATAACCAATAGAAAGTCAAGGTTTTCATGTATCAAATGACGTACTGTATAACATTGTATTCTGAACACTTAGATGTCAATTTTACTCAGAGTACCAACATCTTTCCTGTGAGAAAGTTAACGACTAGTTTGGATGAATTTGTAACAACTCTTGTCGCACAATTAGAAAGCCAAGAAAATTTTGAGAGGAAAGTGAATTTGTCTCCTTTTTGCATGTTATTAGTCTGTATTCTTTGGTTCATTATTTAATTAAATAAAAATTATTAAGTGTGTCACTATCTATAGTATAAAAAAATTAGGGTTAACTCTCTTCAAAACCTGACTGCAAGAAAAAAAGATTAGGTAAGTACTTTATTTCTTGTTTTTCACATTTATTATTTATTTATTATTGTAAAAGTATCTAAAATCTAAAAATATGGATCTTTTTACATTAATTAAGACTAGATTAGGTAAAATAAGTAATAATAAGAATATAATCAAAATGGTTCATGAGGTATGCACGCGAGCAGCTCGTGGGTAATGTAATTCAATAGCGTACCGTGAGTTGCACGTTCTTCGAGTGATTTACAACTTATAATGGCACGGATAGTAGTTAGACATGGTTCAAAGGGCAATAAAACAATAACATTTATTATAAATAGATTTATAATGTTACAAATTTATAGCTACTTAGGATAAATTAATGTAGTTTCATGTTACAATTTAAAGTCATTCTTGAAAGAAAAAAGGTT